TCGAGAACCATCAGGTCAGTGTTTGTGGCAGTTAAGGACATTGTGTCAAGAGAAAATAAGTGGCGGCTCCTTATTCAGGCCTTTGAATATGCCATTCTTCCTAAAGTTGTCTATGTTTGGTCTTACCAAAGGAAATCTGTTTCGAGACGTCGGCATGAAGGCTTGAGTGACTTTAATGTATAGTCCTGTATTGGCCACGGGATGTTACTTAAGTGGAAACGTTCTTTTTCAGACGGTGTCTACCTCAGAGTCTCTGCCTGTTGTATTAAGTGGTATCCTACGGGTTTTGCTCCATTCTTTGAACTGTAACCAGAGTGAAAGAGTCCTGCAGAACATATTTGCAACGCAAAGATCAATTGTCTACAAGGTAACGTAAATACCTCCATGAGAGAATGTCTAGAAGTGTAGACATCGGTAATAGTTTATTCGTTGGTTAGATAGCTGATGTCTCCATTGTTTTGTCGAGACATTTGTGTTGCATATTGACTGTTAACATACCGCTTCCTTTTTTTAGTTCCAGAGCTGTTGTTTGAAGATGACACCGAACTTTGTGAAGACTTGTGTTCCAGACTCCTAAACCATTGCAGCTCTGCTCTTAGTAGTATTCGGGCCCAAGCCAGCGCGTCACTCTATCTCCTCATGCCACAGAATTTTGAAATAGGAAATTTAAGTTGTAACTCTTCGTTGGACATTGGTGTTAGATAGTGCTGCTGCTTTTGTTTTTTGTTTTTTGTTTTTTTTCATTGGTGTGAAACTTTTAGTTTGAGAGTATTGGGCTTCTACAATAGGAAGCATAAGCACAAATGTTTCTGAGAAACAGACGGCAACCGGAAGTTCAATTTCTCATTCCCGATGTTTAAAATGCTATAGCGACGACAGTATTGTCGATATACTGGCGTCCAAACGCGCTAAGATCAGTTTTCCTGTTGCCTTCTGCGTCTCAAGAACGTCTCTGCTTAAATTCTTTATGGTATGGGAGACGTAGTGGCGGAGTTGTTTCGCCCTAGGGCCTGTTTTTTCGAACGTTCTGAAAACGTAAACCAAAAGAATAGAAGTGTGTGGCTTAACTAAAAAAACTGGTTCTTTTTGCTTCGTTTCTCGTATATTTATTGCTTGAGTTTTAAATCCATTTTTACACCGCTGTATAAGGTAAAAAAAAAAAAGAAACAGCTTTTGAGGACCGGTAACCACTGGGTCATCCTAAAGAACGAATCAGCGAATGTTCCAGGTTTTGAGTTCTGACCGTGTCATTATCACATTGACCGCTCTGACGAAGAGCTAACACTCGAGATGTCGGCTTCAGAAACCCTTTAAGGTCGCCAATTTGCGTTATAAACTCAGTTGATAGAACCGAATCATCTTCCAATACGCCCCACCGAAACAGCATCACGGTTTGTTTAAGAAACTTACCCCTTTACTCGTTTATCTGTTGTTTATTTGTACAAACGATTATTCTGTAGAATTTTGCAAGAGTCAAGATGCAAGTTACAATGTCACTTTCCAGTCTTGTTGGCACTTCACAAGTGAGTTCGTGAGTTATTTTGTTTCAGCCTATTTGTTAAGTTCACTACAATTATTGTTGTGACGTGTACCGCTATGATTGCTTTCAACTGTTAACTGAACTTTATTTTAGACCATCTAATTTTGATATGATTATTCAATGCTTTTGTCATGATTCGTTAACGCTTTCCTCAGCGCAGTAATTGAAGAACTTTACAATCTCATTGATTGCAGGCGTTTAATGAAGATCACCTCCGTCGGTCACTGAAAACAATCATTACATACGCTGAATCAGATCAGGAGCTGCGAACCAGCACTTTAG